GGGCCTCGCCCCGGGAGTGCCCAGGTCCCTGTCCCGCGTTCCCGGTCCCGCAGGGCGGCCGGAATCCCCGGTGCGCACCTCCACCCGTCCCCGCCCTCACCCCCACGCTCAGCGCCCGCTCTCCTGAGCATGCGCGCTCGCAGGCGGGCTCCCCGCCCAGCTGCACTGTGTCTCCCGGGGAAACTACACAGCAGTCCCAGCGCCTCCGGGCCCTTCCCCAGCCCTCGCCTCTGTTTCCACCCTGTTCCCCGGGGTAGCGCTGTTCCCAACCATCAGGTCACACTTCCGGCCGCCGATTCCCGTGCTCCCCGCCTCTGCTCCAGGCGTCTGGGGCCCCAGCGACGTGCGCTAGCCTCTCAGGGGGGAACCCGCGGCAGCGCTGCCTTCCAACCACGCATGCCTCCCACGCCTCCCGAGGATTAGCGGCTCTGCTCCAATCACGGCCCTCGCTAAGACGCCGTCAGCCCCGGTCTCCACGGCAGCCCCTGCGGAGATTTGCGGAGGTGCACCGCCCGCACACCGGTGGGAGGAGGGGCTGGGCCCGGAGCTTCCTGGGAGGTGTAGTCAGCCGGGCCCTCCCTGCGCGCGTGCGCATGGCGACGGTCGTTCCTGTTGGCAGGCGGTAGGCGTCCCTGCGTGTCCATGGTAACCAGTGGAGCCGACTCTGGTCCAGCGCAACCTCGGGGCGTCGGAAAAGCCTGAGTAAGAGGAATGAGGACGTAGGGAGGGGACCGGGATAAAGAGGGGAGGAGAGCGGGGAGAGTGAGGGTTGACTGACGGGGGGCAGGGAGGGACCCAGAGTTTGCAGGTGAGAGGCTCCAGTCTGAACAGACAGAAGACAGCGGGGAAAGGGCTGTGCTCTCTCAGACCTAGAGAATTCGGTGAGAAGCCAGCGGGGCGGGGATTCAGGCCCTGGGAGGCCGGTGGCCAGAAAAATTAGCAACAGGGAGCGAGAGCAGTAAGGGGTGGGAGGGAGAGGAGGGAGAGAAGAGAGGGACCAGAAGTGCAGACATGGAGAGTATAGGCACAGACAGGGACACAGGAGGACACCAGGGAGAAGGAGACAGAAGTCAGAGGCACAGTAAGATGGACTGAGGTTTGCAAAGACTAAGAGAAGGTGACAGCAACAAGAGAGGAAGTTGGAGGGAGACTTGGGAGGAAGACTCACCCAAAACTTGACAGAGAACAAACATGACCGGGAGCCTGTGTGACTCCCTAAGCAAAGCAACTGTTTCCCGCTACTTTGATCAGAGTCCAGCTGCTAGGTTGCAAAGGTGAATAGGATGCAAATACTTTCTGTCCTGAGAAAAAAGAGCCCAGGGTTTGAGTTGTGTCACCCTGTAGGGCACAAAGCAGGACAGGACACACCCAGGGCCGCCCGCTGCCCTCTAGGGCACTAATCCGACTGCGTGTTTTTTTTTAAAATATATGTAATATTATTATTGATTTCAGAGGAAAGGAGAGAAACATCCATGATGAGAGAGAATCATGTATCGGCTGCCTCCTGCACGCCCCCTACTGGGGACCAAGCCCCCAACCCAGGCATGTGCCCTTGACCAGAATCGAACCTGGGACCCTTCAGTCTGCAGGCCGATGCTCTATCCACTGAGCCAAACCCGCTAGGGCCTCACTGCATTTTTATTTAATATTTTGTTCTTTAACCTTCTCTCTTGTTCCTTCCTCCCATTTTTCTGGAACCACCTCTGTCATCTTCCTAGTTCCTCCGTGAAGCAAATCTATCTTTGAGACCGCTCACTTACCTTTTTTAAAAAAATTATTAGGCAAAATTTATTGACAAAGTTATAGAAGCAGAAGTGATCCAGCTGGGCTGCCTTTGGTCAGGAAACAAGTCACAGAAGCAAAAGAAGGTTCCTTGGAGCGAAGAAGAGAGAAGGGAAAAGGCAACGAGCCTGGGGGAAAGAGCGGGGGAGGGGGGGAGGAAACAGCGCGCCCCTTTTTACCTTTTTTACAAATTACATGTTGACTGAAGGGAACCAGTTCTCTGGGGTGAGGGACAGACGGGGAAGAGAAGACGGTGTGACAGAGGCAGGAAGGTAAAGAAGTAGGGAGGGTGATGGAAGACGGACAGAGCAGCCGGCAGGGAAGATGCGAGGAGAAAGCGAGGAAGCCCGCCTGGGGCACCGACAGCCTCATCACCGAACTACATTTCCCAGCAGCCCGAGCGCCCAGAGCGACGTGAGAGGCGCGCCGTACGCGGTCTCCCCCAATCCCCGCGGTCGCCCGGCAACCTTGCACTTCCAACAAGATGGGGGCTAGGCTCAGTCGCCTCCGGGGAGCCGTGCTGTGAGGCAGGACATGGGGAAGGGCCGCAGCCCCACCGGCCCAGCT